ATTATAATTATAAGTAATTTTAACGTATAAAATAAAATAATAGTTATTAAAGTAATTGTACTTAATAGTTTCTTTCTTTTTAAATAAGTTACTAAAATGGACACAAACGTATACGAATTATACCGAAACCGATTAAGGTCAAAGTTTAATCAAAATAGACTTAAATGTCAATTTGATCTTATCTATCATTATTTTACAATTTAAATATTTAACGTAGATAAATATTTACAAAGCATCCCTTCTATTAATAAAAGGTTACATGGTTTCCTCTTGTTGACTATTGACTATTTTACTTAGCAAACAAATATATCTCTGAATGCATTCCGTAAGAATTAAATCTTATGGATTTATTTTAACATATAACTTTTTATATACTTTAAATCTAAAGATATTGTACAGTTGCTAATTCTTTAAAAAAAAATTAATAAAATTATTTATTATCAAGACCATACAGATATAACACGAAATATAGTTTGTAACACTGAAGATAAACATAAATTTATTTTAAATGAAAACATTTGCGATAGAAATCGTTTAAGCAAGATAAGGGGAAAAAAAGCAGTTTATCGATTAGGATATTAATAAAAAATAAATTTTAGTGTTGATAATGATATATTTATCAGTCAAAAGATATCAAAATGTACAAACAAACATAGTTATGATATTTAAGTTTACAAAAAAAAAATTCCAATTTTTAGTTTTTTTTTTCAAGTAAAGTACTATATAGATTAAATATTTAATAAGAATTATATTTTATCATGAAAATATAGTTAAAAATTGATTTTCCATTAAAAAATAATAATAAAACTATTTCATTTTTAAAATGCTTCAATAGAATGTGAACTACTTTAAAGAATGAAGATAATTTCCTACCTTTTAAATTTATCTAAACTTACATATTTTAAATTTTGTTAAAATTATTTTTAATGAATACTGAATTATATTAATTATTAAATATAATTAATCTAGTATTAGCAATTTAAATATTAAAAGTTATGTATTAATTAAAAACATCTTCTTGCAATATTGAAGGAATATATTTACATATTTAAAAATTCTTCATGTTAAATACGGATGAATATGCATTATAATTATTTTTAATACTAAATTTGAATATTTTCTATAAACACATTTATATAAGTCTAATTGCATTTTAATAATATTAAAATTTGAATAAAAATGTTTATCTAATAAATTTTATGTACCATTTACGTATTAAATTATAAATAATATATTGAAAATTAAAGTGTACATTATTTGTTAACATGATTTACGAACAGATGATAATATTCAATTGGTTCTATATTTATTAATTATAATATTGCCAATTAAATAAAAATTACTTTCTTTAATAATATACGATATATAATTATAGCCCAATGAAATGCATTACTTTTATTATACTGTACTTATGAAAATAAAAGTATATTTTATTTACTTATATAAACTAAGTAAACTAAAATTGTCTTTTATAAGAAAAACAGAATAAATAAATATATATATGTATATATACACACACACATTTTATTTAATTATATTTAATAATATTAATACTAACCAAGATTTATAAATATATAATGCTTGTTTGTTAGAATTTCTACAAAAGTGAGATAAAATGAATGAAAAAGTAAAAATATGCCGCAGAATAAATGTTTTTTTTTTTTTTGACAAAAGATTTTATAAAATGATCTCATTATTTTACTTTTGAAAAAAAAAATATATTAAACTCATAGCGTACTTGATTTTAATTAATAAATTCATGGTTTCTATAATGAAAAACTTGAATTAAAATTTTAATTATTGTTAATGTGAATTTCTATAGGGACTTGTGTTTATTTTTTTATATTACAATAAACATATATGATAAAAGCATACATTAATGTTTGAATAAAATGTATACTTTTATGTATATTAAAAAAAAATCAGAAAAAAATTCTACAATCGGTTTAGCTTTCAAGTAAAACGCGGAACCGGTTTAACCAAATAAATATTCTTGTGGGATACGTGGACCTATGTTGATCTAATTAGGGACATTATATCAGATAATCTTACACATCTAATAAAATAGGTTCTAAAATAAATATAGGCTACCATTCAGAAACAATTAAATGAAGGCTTATGAATTTTCATAGCTCTTTCGCAATAGAGTAAATATCTATTCATCTCTTGAAATTAAAGTGCTAATTTTAAGTATTTTACATAGACTAAGAGATGTTAATTTAATCAGTGTATTTTAATACCATAATTATCATTTAAACTCATAACAGTAAAATAAATTTACGGACCGCATTAATTTTATTAACGATATAATGTAAAATTTTACATATTATTGATGCGTATATTGAGTCAAAATTATTACTTTAATATAAAATTGAATTTTTTGGAATATTTTTAAATGGTAAGTTCAATAAAATTTTTTGAAATAATTCGTGTAAAATCAGAATCGTTAATAAAGAAAAAAAAATATAATCAAGTTATGCCACAATGATATAATCTAATTCGTATAAATAACCTGCAATTTTAGACGGATTATTTTATGTTATTTTACGATCGTGAATTACATTCTTATTAAAATTACATAACAGAAATTCAAACTAGGAAATTATTATTATCTTAAAGAGTAATTGATGATGGATATTTTACGTGGTTACATGTAAAGTTCTAAAAGGGTAATAAATATTAAAGAGGATATTAATTAGAATACTATATAAAGAGACCGAGAACATATAAATCTGAGATAATCATTTTAAAACATGTTTCTAAAAGAAAGAAAAAAAAAAGTTAATAATCTCACTCCTTTCTATTGATAAAAGAACATAATTTAATAAAAACAGTATTATTGAAAAATAATATAATTGAAACTGATAAATTGTAATTTCTATAAAAGTAACTTAGAATCATAAGAATTTCTTCTATTAAAAGAGTTCTATAGAAAAACGAATAATTTCCGGAGATAATTCTTGGAGTGGGATGAAATGAACAGGAAACAGTTTTAGGAGAGCATGCGCAAGTGTTTTCCTCTTTTTTTTCTCCTCTCCCCTTTACGTTTCTACAACGACTATCGCTTAACGATATAACAGAATTCTTCTACTTAAGAAAAAGTAAACGCTTGTTGCTGTAACAAAACCAAACTCGTAAAATTACTACTACCCCAACTATCTTTTTTATACTTTTATAAATTATAAAAACATCGTCATATATATAAGAATGTATATAAATATTTCCTCAATAAAATTTGAAATTTGAACAATTTAATAAAACAAACACTAAAAAGAAAACTTTACAATATTTTGATTATAATAATTTTATTAATTTAAAATTGTATTTACTTTAATATTTTATTCATTCAGTTATTATTTTTGTGTAAGTGAACTTATGAATATATTAAAACTTACATATACACACACATACTGCATATATAGATATATATTAAATAAATTACATATTATTTACAAGTAAATTTTAAACTATTCATAATGACAATAGAATGTATGATAATAAAATTTTATTCATTAAATATTTATATAAGATTTAAAAAAAATAAAAATTAAAGTATTGGTATAATTTTCTTAAATAAATATTGATTAAAATATTTAAAAATTTCAAAAATTTTTAATTCACTACCGTGAAACAATTAATGGATTAATTATGATTTAGGTAAGAGGCCATAAGAACGGAATTATAAAGATGGATAAGCACGATTACCTTGATACGTACATAAAAATAAAATTCTATAAAAAATTATGAAAAAAATATTTTAAAATATTATTATAAAATATATTTATATATTACTTGAAATATTTGTATTAGTTCAGTTTTAAGCTTCTCTACAAAATTGATAAATATTCTAAAAATAGAAAAACCCACGACAGAATAAATCTTTTGAAAATAAGTAGAAGAACAACAGATGTTAAAATATATTTTGAAAATATATAATAACAATAATCATAATAATAATAATAAGCTACTTATTTTAAAAGATTTAAAATATATTTTTCAATTTGTATAATACAAAATAACATTAGAAAAATATAAAAGCAATTATTTTCGAATCGATGGAGATGAAAATCAAAACGTCATAAATTGTGTTTATATTATTTGAAAATATTTGTAAATAAATTTTGAAAGGTTGTTAATTATAGATTAATATTGTAATACTCATAATAGAATATATTCCAGTAAGTAGCCAAAGATAAATGCTGTTTCACAATTCTAAAACAAGTCATCCGAGTGCAACATTAATTATTGCATGAAGCAAACCCCGCCTATCTCTTCGCAGTTCAGTCAAAGTTTGTTATTAAGGTGCAAATGATATGCACATAACGATAGATGGGAATATGTATTGCGTGGTTTTAATGCGATCAACGAAACGACGATGTCAAAACTACCCACTCTACACATTATCGTTGTTAGGCGTTCAAATACATTTCCTTCCTATATCAGAAATTTCTTCCTAACAGTTTATTGAATTCGTTTTATAGATGCACATCCTCTCAAAGGCTACAAACATACATTTATCCTAAATGACTCCCGAATTTCTTCAGTATAATAAGACAACTAATATACATACAATACATGTATTTGCTGTCAAATTAGGACTGGATATTTAGAATACAGCAATGATTTAATAAGAATAGAAAATTTGAATTATTATAAAAGCGTAATAAATTTCGTTTGATCGAAAATTATTGGAAATTATTAAAGGTGATTAGATTTTAAAAAACACAACTGTTTCCACTTCCAATTTATATAAATAACATTCTTTAAATTCTTTCCCTTAAAGATTGCATAGGCCTACATGTGCACATCCGAATCTGGTTAGAAAGAAAATAGATCTGGTTAAATTTAGACGGATAAATATGTAGTAAAGGTAAAATAGCGTTAAATTCTTAATACGAATTAAAAGATATCGCGCAATTCTTATTAAATCGAGCGAACTCTTTTGTTTGGGTGCAGTGCCACGCGCAGTCACATCCGGTGCTTGTCTAGAAGTGTGATGCGGTCGGGCTGTATTCTCCGCCATTGCATCGGGAACAATCACCGAGTGTAAGGGGTGTTCTTCAAAAAGGTGGTTTTTACCATTATTCTACTTACGGATTGTCCTAAAGGGATATACAGTGTGGCCAGGAGTGCTCTGTGTGGTTAATCATGGGTCGCAGCGGTTCTTGAAGGGTATGGATAGCGATACGAAGCAACGAAATCAAAGGACCAGACGTCGGGTGAAAATGCAGAAGGGACGGGACCGTTCCGATCTTGGAAGTGGGGAGGACGGGGATGAGTCTCCCGGTCGACACAAGTCACAACGGCCGCCTCCTACGAGAAAGAAAAGGTGTAAAGAACCACTTTTTGAGGAAGATGTCATCGATGGATTTGCAATCCTCAGTTTTAAAACCTATGAGGATTTAGAGGTGAGTTTAGCTTGTTGTGATACGGCAGTGACCCCCTTTGACGCGAGTCAATGGATTCTCCCTAGTTACCGTCGTCTTAAAAAAAGATGGTTCGTTTGACTTATTTTCACCTTTGAAGATGATCATTTCTTCAATTTATGCATATCGATTTTCGGATAAGAAATTGGAAAGTGTGTGGATATTCCAGCATTATTTGCATAAATCATTCTCTTGGAAAATTGCACATTATGATACCTCTGCATCCTGAATATATAGATTATCAGTTTAAGTAATATTTCACACGAATTATTATACTTTATAATTCAAACTATATCCAAACTGATCATGCATATATTATATAACAAGTTGTCTATAAACGATATTTAGAAGCAAGATTTAAATTGCATGTGTTTCCATGTAATTTGTTTGAACACTACTGAAAATAAGCTTCTACTTTTCTTCCTTATTTCAATTCTTACATTCAATTGCTTATAAAATCATATTGCTCAGAGTTTAATGACTGATCTCATCAGATAATGCATATAGCTTGTAATTATATATCTTAAATATTAATTTCAAAGTAAATTTAATTGTTCAAAACAAAACATTACTTTTAGTTAATCAATAATATAAAATGTTAGATTAAACTATTAAATTTTCTCTTTTTAAAATACAACAGCTTTTTTAAGATAAAAAAAGTATATACATACAAATAAAATAAACTATTAAATATTAATTCCTAGGTGTATATATACAATAAACAAATTATAAACATTTCAAATTTTTAAAATTTTCAAATCATACTAATTGCAGTAATAATATGAATTGCATTAATGGTCAAAATTATAAAATATATTATTATTGTGATTTTTTTTGTGTGATAATTATTTAACCCTGTCTTTAATAAGCTACCTAACATAAAAACCTATCTAAAAAGTGCATTATATACTTAATAATTTTTAAATAGTGATTTATATTAACAATATATCATATAAATAGGATTCATTTTAATATTAAATTTCTTTGCTCCCAAATAATAGTTTCTGTAATTGTTTTTTAAAGTACTGTATAACTGAACATACTTATTAGGCCTATATGATAAAACTCAAAATATGTTTAAAACAAAATATAATGAAAATTGTACTTAAATTGCTATCTCAGATTTATCTGTAGTGTGCATTTTAATTTTATCATTTCATTAGTTAAGAGATAATATTATTTAAAATTATAATGAGATTAGATTTAATATAGGCCTAAATGAAAATTTTATTTAGGCTTAATAATAATATTACACTAAGAAATCCTTTAAATATTAAAGATTTTTAAAGTATAGTTGACATATGTAATAATAATAGATAAGAATAATTTTTAATACAAAAAAATAAAATATGTAAGAGTTACTTAGTGATGATTAGAGTAATGACTTAAATAGATTATCTTTTTAAATTATAATTTGGTTTCTTTTTTGTATAAATTTATAAAAGTTACTAAATATTTTTTTGTTGAATCTTTCATTTCAAATGAAATCATAAAAGATTTGAAAATTTTAAAAATTAGCTATTTATTTTTACAAAGATATATTTAATAATTAGAAGTTACAGATGTAAAGCTTAAAATTTAATTCATATACCTATCAAAAATTAATTTTTAAATAAAAAATTAATCATCTCACTGTTGTTTATTAATATNGCCTATATATTTTAAAATATAGTGTGTATATATATATATTTAAAAATTTAAATAAAATCAATTTACTTAATTTAAAAACCATTATATTCTTATATGTATATAATTTAATACATTTATATATTATAAAGCATTTTTTATACAAAAATATATTTTTATCTGCTTAACTAAAAATCTGGTCATTTGTCAAATATAAACAGCTGTTACAAATAGATAAATTTATGTTCAATATAATTTTCATAATATAATTTTTAAAATATCAAAAAATTATAATTAATTAATTTAAAACTCTTAGAAATTAATAAATAATAAACTGTTATAATTTAACTATTATAAATGAATTTATAATAGTTTATTATATTGTTTAAAATTTTTCTTTGAAAATTATTTGTTTCTTTTGTTTAGTGATTTTGATTTGATATACATATCAAAATTCTGCTACAAGAAGAAAATTTATTGATTCAAACAGTTGTGCTTTCCTTTTATTTTGACAGAGATGCAATAGGAGGAAATGTATTTTATTTCTGTTGTCAAATGAAGTGGTTACTGTGCTTAAAAATAAATTTTGACATGTTAATTTTAAAATCCTAAAATTTACTTTTTTGTTAAATAATAAGTGAAAGTAATAGTAGTAGTAAGTTAAGATGAAATACTTAGCTTGATTTAAAAAATAGATAAGAATTCATGAAACATTAAATCATACATAAATATTTTAATTTATTTTGGATTGTATATTTTATTTAATTCCAATCATATATAAAACTCCCATAAAATGAATCTATTATCAGTATTCATTAAGTAATTCTAGATTAAAATTTCAAACATAGGGCAGAGAATTTTTTTTATAATTTTATATTATTATTTATTTTGTGAGACTATAATTAATGTATTTCCAAAACAAGAGAATTATAATTAGAAATACTTAGTATATTTTGAACTGAATTATGCAATTATGTTATATGTGATAATGTCAGGAATAATTAAAAAGTTAAGATCATCAATTACTTTTTCATGCAATTCATTAGCATATAATCACGTTTTAAATATTTTTGAAAGAAAAAATTTATTTCATGTTAATATTTCATTTGTAGTAAAATACACTGTTAATATTGCATTAACTTTATTAGTTTAAAATCATAGAACTGAACTACTACTACTACTAAATTACTTTGAATTATATAATTAAAAAATTTCTAAATTTCTTATTCAAATTTTAAGTTGTGGAATTAGCAATAGATAAAAGATTCATTAATTTTCAATGTAGTAATTTATTCAATAAAGTTTTAAATATTTCTTGACAGAATTAAGATAATTCAGTTTCTGAAATGAACATTTAATTGTTGAACAATTTAACTTTCCTATGTAAGAATGATTTTCTTCTTAATAATTGTGAAGAATTAGGTCTTTATTTAATTCTTTGATTTTCTTGTTAGTTGCTTGTTTTGTTCATGTTGATAATTATTTAATGAATTGAATTTTAATAATAATTTTATTATATGCAAAATTTTATGAGATGTTCTTAAATAAGATTGATAGGATTGTATTTCAAACTATGTGAATAAATAAGTGTATGTTTTACTTATATTCTGAATGTTAATAGTACTATATCTTAAATGTTAATAAATATTGAAAATTATATACAGTATTGTATTATGTAAAATATTAAATACTACTGCCAAAATATTTATAGGGATCATATTAGGATAATACTTGAACTTAGCTCTGCAAAATTAAATTGTCATATTTCTGAGACCATTGATGGAGATCATAAGAATTAAATCTTTCACATATCATAATTATATACAGATTAAGCACAAATTAAATTTATTTGATATGGTACTGAACTTAATGAATTATTATAATAATATAACTTTGTCTAAATAAGAAATGAGATAATTTATGATTTGCAATGAGTGATTTTTTAAAAATTTATTTGCTTTAAAATAATAATTTAAATTTGTTTTTAGAGCATGATTGTTGTTATATTTTGTTGATATTTAATTGTTATAGTATTTTGAAACTGTTTTTTTTAGAACCTTAATATAAAAATTTAAAAAATTTCAAATTATATTATCTTATTTTTTGCTTAACCATATTTTGATAACTCAGCTACTAAAATTAATTCGAAATAGAAGAAAATGTTCCTTCAGTTTATTACAAATTTTGTAAAACAGTAATGATAGAATAAAAATACATTTTATAAAATTTATAAAAATTTATTGTTTATTGGATGCATTTCAGTCCCAGACTTTTATGTCCTACAGGTTATCATTAGTGTAACATGAATTCAGAAAACACTGCTGCTTAAAAAAATATTTTAAGATGAATGCTAAACTTGATGTGTGACATTATGAGTCTGTAAATGTTATTTTTATGGATTCATATTGCCATATGATATTATGATAAATTTGTTGATAAAATATTCACTCTTACAATACTTTAGAAAAAAGTTATTTAGATTTAGAAAATTAGATATCTATCTATGTTATTGATGCAATTGATATGTTGAGTAATTAAAATGTAAAATTTTATTAATCTTGTAAATGAAAAACTAATATATAAAATTTGAAATGATCTTATTTGTAAAGTTAACTAAATAATTTTTAGCAGCAAGATAGCAAAACTGTATTGTATATGGATTAAGATAATATATAAACATTTTTAGATTTAGTATTTAAATAAATATTATTGAATATTAGTCTAAATTTTGAAAATATTTTATTTAGACAGGTCTACATTATATAACAAGATATGCAATAAAGTTCATAATATGAAAGATATTTAATAAGTTCAAGGAAAATTTTTGTAAATTGAGTTTTTTTTATGAATGATTAGAGGATTTTCTAATTTTATATAATTAACAATGTTTTGAATTTATAATACAAAAAGTATTTTAAACTTTTATTTGAAATTCAATATAAAATCTGAACTATTACTGTTGACTAACCAAAATCCATAATATTAGGATTTAAAGTATTTAAGATCTATAAATTAATACAGATATAAGTTTTTGATATTTAAAATTAATTTTATGGTTTATTGGATTCATACTAGAAAATCTAGTTTTTTTAAATTTCCATTTAAAATTATTTAGCTTAAGCAAATGATAAAATATTTTAAATCTTATATTAAATTATACAATAAAAAATATTTTATCATTTGAAACTTTTCTAATATTTAAAATATTTCTGAAATTTAATAATGTTCTTATGAAATAGATTAAAAAATTAAATTTAAGTTTTATAAAATATTGAAAATTAATATGTTTCATTCGTAAGAAAATATCTAACATAACAAGCGACATCTTTTATTAATATTAACATTTTATTAATTGA